GAATAATAATGTGATATGTGCACCATCTTATGCGTATAAATTATGATAGTATATATATTATTAAAATAAATATTCACTCCAATTAGAAACTCGTTCCATTTTGAGGTTTAAAGCAATTGACAATAAGAATATATACATTTTAGTTTCCAATTAGCATAATTTGCAAATTAGAATAAATATGTAACAAAGAGTGTAAGGATTTTTGGCTTTATCTCAGATTTAGTTTAAAGACTACATCAATGTTAGCCAAATATTCAAATTTGGTAAAGCTTTTTGGCATTATTTATTTGCCTGTTGCCAATTGAAAATTCTATTTGGCTTATTTGGGCTGTAATTTGCTTTAGCCCTATGCCAACTTGGCTTTTATCTATTGGCCTAATTACTAATTGTTAAGTGCTCGCAATACATAAATTGAAAATTAAATGGAAATATTGATGAACTTGGCAAATCGTTTGCTTGGCCGCTGGCGGCGTAAAAAGCAAAGAGCAAAAAGCAAACAGCTCAAAGAGAAAAAAACAGAAACTGGAAATATTTGAAGGTTGTTGTTTTTTGTTTTCTTGTCGGGCTCTTGCCACACATAGCAAGGCAATTAAACAGAATTTTCATTAGCATGTTTTGAACATCATTTTCTTTTTAGCATATTTTATGATTGAGCAAAATAAATATGCTCTATAAGTGTGTTTTATATATATACACATATATATATATTTATATGTATGTATATATGCTTTCTTGATTATCGTTAGTCACGCTTTTCATTGTTCATTTCATTTGGCCAACTCCCACGCAATAAGACGACAAAATGTGGGCCATTTAGAATAAATAACAAAGTTTTGTTTTTTTTTTTTTGCAAATTATGCGCAATATTTTCTGAATCATAATCTCATTTCGTGAATATTTACAAATAATTAATCATAAAAAGCAAATTTTGTTGATTTGCCAACTAATTAATAACATTGCGTTCAGCTAAGTTCAGTAAAGTTTGTTCAAATTTACGCATTTACCTTTTTGGCCAGCTACAAAAACACCTGCACACAGCTGAGGGGCCAAACTAATTGCGCATACGCCTCGTACTTTAGCTAGGTTTTCGAAATCTTTGTTTATTCAATCTTTATGTACATTCGTTTCTATTTTTGAAATTCATTCGCAGCCGAGCTCCCAACAAGAATTCCTATTAGAAAACGCATTGTCTACAGAGCAGCGCAAAACATTTTCACCCGCTTGAAAAGCTATTCAAAATGATTTTTATTTTTTCTTTTAATGAAATAATGCATAAATTTGAAACAAGAAAATGAAAAGAGCTAAAAAGTGGGCGCTTGAGAGAGAAAGAGACCGAGAAGGAAGGAGAAATGAAAAAGTAATAAAGGCAACAGCAACAACTCTAAAGGTCCTGCCTCTTGTCTCATGATGGGATTTTCACGTGCAACAAGACGAAAGTGAAGAGCAAAAGCAACAACAACAAACGAAACCCTTGTCAATGGCAAAGCCCTTAATACACACACACTCAGAGAGCATGCGAGATAAAGAGAGAAAGATAGAACCCAAGCTCCTTTGCCTCTACTCTATTGTCAATAAAAATGCCTTTGAGCTGTGGCATACTCAAAAAAGTTATTCTTGACTTATTATGAGCCCCCAATAAACTCTACACTTAGTTAAAGGGCAAAAATAAATAAATATATTTACATAAAAATATATATATATATATAAATAAATATATATATAATATATATATATATACATGTTTATATATAATATGTATATAATTTCATTTTTTATGAACATGCGTAAGAAAAGAATATGTGTAATTACAGCTCTCTGCAAGCTTTACATATGCTCTATGCCTAATTACCGGCGCAGCCCACAATGGAGGCTGCGTACACAGCATGGCTAACTGTTAAGCTCCAATAATGTATTACATTCATCGTGCCGTACTGCTCGGCGCTTCGTAATCAATAAAGCGACCCCGGCCCATTGGCCGAAAGAAAATAAGACGCTGAAGCTGCGTCCAGGAAACGTGCGGACATGCAAGGAATCTGGCTTACGGGCACAACTCAATGGGAATAAAACCGTTAGCAGCAATGCCGCAACCGAGGGAAGTACTGAGTGAAAGAGAATCGATGAGTGGAAGCCGTAGCTTGCCGTAGGCAATAGAATTGTATATGCTACGCAAGTATTTGCTCTGTTCCCCTGCCCATAGCCGCAAGCCCACTGACTCAACGACAGTTCCTGTAACATTGCCATTCCCATTCGTTTTCCCATTCCTTTTCCCATCCATTCCCATTCCCAGTCCCATTCCTGGCTGCTGCCAGTAAGTACGTCACCAGCTGCTCGCTGTGCGCGTGACTAATGTGACCGTTGGCCTTCCGCTAATGTTGATAGATGGCGAAGTTTGATGGATGTGTGTGTATGTGTTTTAAAGCGAAATATAAATGAATGTCACATAACACAGTAAGAAGTGCAACTATTTACTTAAGGTATATGTGTAAGTGCATGTCAGCGTTGCCACTTGATGCACACACTTGAGCTGAAATTGTCAACGTTGCCACCCGCACGCCCGACCGACTGCTCGTTTGCCGTTCACCCGTTCTCTCAGCGAATTTATTTGTTTATCAAGCAAATGTCACCCTTGGGGGAGTTATTGATAAGCCCGTAAAATATTTAATCGCGTGAAGAAACTAATGGAAAGCAACAATAACAACAAGTATCAACACTCACCTGACTTTGACGCTGCTGCTAGACCACAAAACGACGTTTCGCTCGCTCTCCCTACCTCTCTCTGTCCCTCTGTCTCTCTCACTCTTGCTGTGTGCTCCGCTCTGCTCAGCTCTAGCGCTTACTTGCTGTCTCCGCTTGCTGACTTTTTACTTCTTTTGATTACTCTTGTTGTTTTTGTTGTTGCTGCTGCTATTGGCTAAAACCAAATTTAATTTGTTACTCTTGGGTTGGCTTGTTTGGGTTTATCGGAGGGCGCAAACCGAGGGCGAAAACGGAGGCGACGACAAAGGCGACGGCGACGGCAAAGGCGAAGGCTCTTACGACCAAATCAAAGCTTCAACTTTGTGCGGCTGCTGCGCTGCTACTGTTGCTGCTGCTGATACTGTAGTTGTTGCTGTCGCGCAATTATTTTGTGTATCAACAAAATATTTTATATTTATTTATTTGATGTGATTGAAAACGAGAAATGCTATATTTTGTAAATATATGTATATGAATTCTTTTCAAATTAAAAAAATTGTGCTGCCTTTACCGTTATCATTTCGCTAATGCAAAAAATATAACAAGTCCAATAAGATGAGCTGATTGATATTTGTTTGCTCCAATGCGAAATACAAAGTTGTTAAGCTCGTAAAAAAGCAATATATATATTATAAGGTATTCATGTGCACACGCAATACGTTTACTTTTTTTTGGCAATGTAATTGTTTAATTAATTACGTGTGTGTATGTGAATTATTTGCGCTTAAATAAACATTGAATATTTTCTGCGTGTGTGCACAGCAATTTGTTAAGTATGTTTGTAGTGCAATATACATAAATATATATATATAAATATGTATATATATATATAAATATGTATGTGAGTATTGGTGTGTGCCTCGCTCATTTGTTTGTATTGTTTATTTGCACTTGTGCTTTGTGCTTTTCGGACCTGTCTACCGAGCAGCAGTTGCTCTCACTCTCTCTTTGCTCTCCTCTCTGCTCTCTCTTCGCTTGCACAACTCCCACCACACACACACACAGGCCTACAAAATGTGTGTGCATGTGTTAGTACACCTGCCGCTGCTCTGATTGGCATTTGGCTTATTAAAAGTCGCCCGTTTGGCAACGCTGACCATGACCCCAATTGGCCGTTGCATTTCGCTAGTATAATAACCCCACCAAGCCTCCAATTTGATAAGCCGAAATGCCAATCCACATGTGTGCTAGCTTTATGTGTTAAGAAACTTTTAATTAATAATTAAATTTTTTAATTAACTAATCAATGATTGAGACATATGTTATATGTGCGCATAAATATTAATTAAGTAATAAAAAACAAGCACACACATGTCTAGTTATCACAATTAGATCAACTGATTAGAATGATATACAGATTATGTTTCTTATTAGAGTGGGCAGCACTTAACTGTTAATTAAACATTTTGAGCCGGCATTCGCCAAATGTTACACTTTCTCTCTCTCTCTGCCTATTCTCCTCCCCTCTTACGCTTTTGACCTGCGGCCTAGTCGAAGCGCGTTTATTGATTGCCCCCACCTACCCCACCACCTACGTGAAGAACGAGGAGAAGCCCCAACAGGCGTCCCCAAAAACCTTGCCAACAACGACGTCGGCAACGACAACAACAACAAGCTGGCAAAAGTGATAGGTAGAATTTTTTGTATGTATATTTTGTTTTTTTTTTTTTGTGAGCCTGCCGACTGCCGCCCACAGCACCGCCTCCTTCACCGACCGACCGACCGCCCCTTTGGCTCCTCGTGCATATCGCGCCCTCGTTTTTTATTACGCGCACATTTTTACATACACTTGCACAATCAAAAATTTCTAATGTGAATTGTTTTAAAAAGGTTTGCAATTGGATTTTTTTTGTTTAATTTTTTTGTCAACACTGCAGTTATTTTTTATCAAATTTTTATTAACTGGTTTTAATTACTCTTTTGGTGTGTGTGATTTTAAACGCACGCAGTACGCATAATCCGATATCGGACAAAATATATATCTACCACTGGCGACGGCACACGTTACTATAATACTGAAACTTGGATTCTTATTGGGCTGGCTCGATACATTTTGTTCAGCCGGTGGTATCGTTTGTGTGCAGCGCTGCCAGTTAGCTGGCAGCCCATGTGACGTCACAATATGATATGAACTATTTTTGTTTATCTGGCAACGCTGCTGTTCAATTGAACAGGCTCGATATCCTTCACTCGATCTTGGCATATTATTTTAAATTTTAAGCTGCATTTTCTTCGCAAACAAGTATCTTATTAATCAAAGCAAAACAACTCTAGTTTGAAAATTTTTGTCTCTATTTAATTGCCATAAGTATAACAAATTATTGTCAGGCTTCCCATTTTATATATCGATATATTATCAACATCGCAAGCATATTTGCACATCACTCTTCACCACAGACCATTCTTGGAGTGAGCCATCGGTTCGGATAAATTTATATTTATTTATTAACTTCGTAAATTTTATATATTAACGCTAACACGTTGCTGGAAGTTGGCTCTCTTACCAGCACGCGATGGCTTTATAAAACCAAAAGCAATACAGAATATGGCTACAGGCTAATTTCAATCACTTTCACTCGCTCCAGCTGAAAGAGAAAAAACAATCAGCAAAAGTGTCTGTGTATACAAAAAAAAAAATTGAAACGGAAAACGCAACCAAGCTCCAATGTGTATTCGCCTATTGTTTGCGACAATCAACTGACTGTGATTTACGAAACAACGAAGGAACAAAAAAACGAACGAACTGCCACTCTCTCAACATAATAGAACAAGTAACCTAAACGAGCCTGGAGCTGGCGACGACAGAGGTGGTGGCGATAACAGAAACATCCATTCGTCGCGAAGACATACAAACATACACAGCCTCGCAGATTCACGTAGAGCCGTGCCCTCTGTACGGCAATATGGGCAACGAGGACAATCGCCGAAGGAGGTCTCCTTGTAGCTGCTGCTTGTCCGTGTTCAAGTGGATACCCGTTATCTTCATTTTCGGCGTGATCGCATGGTCCTACTATGCCTATGTGGTGGAGCTATGTGTTCGTGAGTAGCCCAAATATCGGACACAGAGAACGTAAACGATACACTCTTCCTCTCTCTCTCTCACTCTTTCTCGCCCTACTTACAGTGAAAACGGAGAATCGTGCTGCGATGATATTTATGCTGATTTTCTATCATATCGCTCTTGTATTGTTCCTGTGGTCCTATTGGCAAACAATAAACACGCCAGTGGGCCGCGTTCCGGCTCAGGTAAAGCAAATACAAATACATGCACGTGCACTTCTATGATTCACACGCTGATAAGGCTAGAATACTGTGATAATTTATCGCACGCAAGTTTAACTTTTACATTTTCACAGTGTACACATCGAAATTTGATAAATGAAAATATTTTCTATTCCAGTGGCGCATTCCGGATGAAGAAGTGAATCAGCTATTCCGGGCCGACAACCAAGAGACTCAAAAGCGTATTTTAAACAATTTTGCGCGCAGTTTGCCGGTTACAAATCGGTAAGACAATCGATATAGAAAAACAGCTGTACTTAAATTTTAGATACGTTAAATTGTAAAACTACCGAATATTAATTGGAGCGCAATAGTGTATAATTCGAAATTTTTTGCTTTGCATTCAGGTGTCTCAAATACGTTACTCATAAAAGAACTTATCTCACGACAAACTATTTCTACGGGAAGCTGAATAATATAGTTTCCTACTACTGATAAGCTTGTGGTTGTGTGTAGGCAGCTTAGTCAGCGTAGTTTTTGTTGAGTTCGCTTAAGATATCTGAAAGTTTAAAAATGTTTGTCACATAAAACGAAACAGATAAGATTTTTGTTTATATACGAAAAGAACTGCAAAACTTTGAAATTTTTTAAACAACATTCTGTTTATATACATATTGTTTTGAAGTAATAAGATATGCAGCAGGAATGCCGCGTACAAAGCTTTCAGAGCAAAGTTTTAAAGACTGAGATAGAGTAAAATGATTGTCTGATAAATACGTGGCCTTAAAGGAATGATAAAACGCAATAAATTACATTTAATTTATATAAATTTAAATAAATTAGATTCAAATATATATCTGTGGTTAGGTAAATCGAAATAGCCAATATATGTTTGTTAATCTCCATTTATGTCTTACATATTTTACGATAACATAATGATACAAATTGAATAATGAATTTGAAAAAGTATTTGGGCAATTAATTTAAGCATACAACGGTGTCTTTTTATAAATATTTGCACATACTATAAATAATTGTATACTATGTACCCATATCTATTTATTTACACACAGTACAATCAATGGCTCTGTTAGATTCTGTGAGAAATGCAAGATCATCAAGCCGGATCGATCGCATCATTGCAGCGTGTGCAGTTGCTGTGTGCTTAAAATGGATCATCATTGTCCATGGGTGAACAATTGCGTTAACTTTTCCAATTATAAGTTTTTCGTATTATTTTTGGGCTACGCGCTGGTCTACTGCCTCTACGTGGCTTTTACCACAATTCACGATTTCATACAGTTCGTTCAGGTAAGTCGAGCCCACAGCTAAATTTTATGCATGGTAGCTGCCTCACTGCTTGTTTAGCTGGTAGCTGTATAGTTAATGAATGCGAATATACATCTTTATATACATATATATTATATTTGATGTAATGTTAAGAATGAAAATGGTCTTGCTGTCTCGGAACAGGGCCAGCCAACCGGCAGCGGCATGGGACGCTTTCACATACTCTTTCTGTTCTTCATATCGATAATGTTTGCCATTAGCTTGGTGAGCTTATTTGGATATCACATATATCTGGTTCTCGTCAATCGCACCACACTGGGTAATATCTTTTAAATGTACATTAAATCCTTATGCTAATATGTTTTCCGTTACTTAGAGGCTTTTCGTGCGCCCATCTTTAACATTGGTGGACCGGATAAAAATGGCTATAATCTGGGTCGATATGCCAACTTTTGCGAGGTTTTCGGTGACAGATGGCAGCTATGGTTTATACCCGTATTTACCAGGTACGTCATGCATTATACAACAAATATATATATCTCATCATTCGATACATACATTACTAATCTGTGCTACACTGTTTGTTGTTTTTGTGTGTTTTGTTTATTTTTAATTATAACTATTCATTGCCTATTGCAATTTACGCTTCTCTTATTACTTTCTCACCTTTTGGCGAAATGAAACGCTTTAGTTTTTTAGTACTTGCACTTCTGCACACTAAATATTAAATTAATTACATTTTTTAATACATTCTTGCTGTTAGTTTAAGACAATAATTTGTAAAGCTAAAAAAAATAGCAAATTTTGTAAGACACAAAAAAAAAAACAAATGTTATTCGAAGTCTTTTGATACATTATTAGTTCTAAGCAGTTATCAAAAGTCTTACTAAAATTGACCTAATTTAGTGTTTAGTGTTTAATTAACGGATAATGGCCCTTATCCGATTGTGATAATAATAGTTATAAATTCTTAACATTTACTATTACAACTAGCTCTAGCTAGGGGTCTAGTTCCTGTAAGATTTAAATAGGTCTGTAACTAATTATTTTAAAAGCTGATGCTAACAAATGCTTACTAAAACAACAATCACATTTGATATATTGTACAATATTAATGTATATATCAACCAAATTGTATAAAGCGCAAAACTATCTAACAAAGAGCAACAACAACAACTACAACAAAATTGCAATTATCCACAAAAACAACAATCGCCACAATTTTCAATCAAACACTGTTAACAAATACCAAATACTTTTGCTTATTCACAAATTTGGAAAAACACGACAACTAAAACCTCAATTAGTAAGGGCGATGGATTGTACTTCACAACGTCTAGTGATCAATTTGGCAGTGGGACTGGCCAACGGTATGATGCGATGGGCAACACGACTTCAGCAGCAGCAGCAGCCAGCAGCAGGTTAGATGTCAACCACACAGATAAGTTGATTGACGCTATACCACTTAATAATCATCAACCTCATCTGGAGCCAGACAACGTTCAATCATCTAGCAACAGCCATCCACTAATACCGTCTAGTCCAGTAATTGTCAACATAGATCAAAAAGCAGATGCAGTCCCAGCAACGAAGACAGCGACAAATAACCATGTTATAATGATCGGCGATCAGGTAGTTCCCAAGGATCCTCTTCAGCTGAATGGCATTCCATCTGCGATAGCTGACGATCGAATTGTCTAAAATGCAAATCAGTTCAAGTAGCATGTGTTTCCATTTGATTTGAATCAATGCGATGCTGGCTACCAGAGTATATGCGTGTGTGATTGTGTATGGGAGTGTCTGTATGTGTGTGTGTATTGAATATAAACTCGTAAGTCTTATGAATGGTTATAGATGAGATATAATGTTTACCGTAAAATGTAAAACAACTCTTATTACCTGTAGCACCATTTGCCCAGTTGCCTTACATTCATAAACATCGAACGCATACATTTATATATAGTTATATATAGACATATATTAATATTAATAATATATACATATATATATATATAATATATATATTAATATATATATATATATATATATATATATATATATATATATATATATATATATATATATATATATATTCACATATATACTATTAAAAGTAAGCATAAAATAATTATTGAGAGTTACTTTGTGCAATAAGACATATGTGTATGTATACTACTTGTAATATCAGAATACGTATGCACACATATTATATAAAGATAAAAAACCATTTAAAAACGTTTTGGCAATCGTTAATATAAATATTGTTAGTTTGTTAAAGCAAATCTTACTAAATGGCCTAATTGTTACAAAAGACTCACGACTTGATGTAATATAATAACGTTCAATTAAGATCGTATATATATACGTATACACAGCTCACATTTAAAAAAAAAACAGAAGGAAGATAATACTGAATGAATTTTAAACTTGATCGCATTTTAATGCTTTTATTAATCTTAATTTTTAATAGTTTAATTTCGGTTAACGTTTTGATTTATATTTTGGCTAGTTTACTAGTTATTAGTTTTAGTTTTTTTATAACATTTATGTATAAAAACGTTTTTGTACGCGCGAAAGCTGGGTTACAAATATATTTTCATTTATATAAAAAGTACACATATCTTTTTATCATATGCAAATTCTATAATCTATCTAAATGATCTCCCTTGCAATTTCTTTCTTTATTGCACTGCACAATCTCTACATATCATCCATCGAATTCAAACGACACACAAATAAACAAACAAACACACAGACACAGATTTACTAGAACTATTAAATATTTTATTGTAAATTATATTCAATTTGACTTCTATTTGTTTTGCACTCTGTGAATCTATTCTCTGATTTGCATCAACAATAAATACCTTAGCTTCGGCGATGGCATTAGCTATCCCATACGGCATCTAGAGGAGGATACCGAATCACTGCTGGGCTATCATAGTGACACGCGCATCGAACTGGAGGAGGACTTTTTGCCAGAGGCGCGTTTTCAGGACTCGATCATTCCATAGCTAATAATGAGCAGCGATAATGTTGCTACATATTGTATATAATTATGATATATGTAGTGAAGAAGTGTATATACATTCAACGCAGCCTTTGGTGGCTACACGAGTATCTAGTCTATAGGGTAAATATATGATTATATATTTTGTACTAGTTGGTATATGATAAGTTGAAAGATAAGCGTGCGTGCACCATTGTTATCAAAATACTTTCGTGTCTTACGTTTGACAGTGCAAGTGACTGAATAATGCCTATTAAAATGCCTATATAGTTGCTTCTTAGCATAAATCGAACGCTGCCATACAGAGCCCGACACACAGAATCGTGTACTATAATTGTATAAATATAATGTTGAACAAATGAAAGAAAATATTTGTATTCATAGATTAAGTTTGTGTTTTTGTAGCTAAGATACGGAGTTACACCATAACATTGCAATATCTTTTATATATATACATCCAAGATTGAAGCAGTACAATATAGTTAACACATTTAAAAAAGAAAAATAGAAACTTAGTTTAAAAGCAATTTAATCGAAACGACTTAAGTGGTCATTCTGTTCAATAACTGCCGCACGCCCTGTTACAGCAGGCACCACCTCGAAATCTGCTTCCATGCTGGTAGATTCCGATTCTACATCAGATCTTCTTCGATCATTAAATGGATTAGGATGCATTGGAGCCGCGGGCGTTGGATTGAGTTTTGCTGCTTTGGCTGGCTGTACTTCATTTGGTTCTGTATTAACTTCATTCCTTTTTTTCTTTTTCTTGCTCACAAGGACATCGCGTGCCATTGGAACTCCAGTGTCTTCGCTGCGTGGCAGCAAATCACTTAAATCACACTCTACATCCGCCTGATGTGGAAGCAACTTCTCTTGTAGAGCAGCCAGTGCTATGAGGAGCGCCTCTTCGGTGCGTATTGTACGGGAACCTTGTTTAGGCAGCACATTTATGTAATGGTCGAAAAGCAGCTGCGGGTCATCGACGGTCAGCTTCTCGTCATTTGCTAGCGCTTCTTCGAGACCTTGAAGACCACCAAATACGATTAGTGCGTGATTATAGCCTACAGATTGGTTAGGTACATTCTGCACGCTAGTGCCACGATCTGAAGTTCCCATCGTCACATCATAGCCACCAGCATAGGGGGATTTTGTGAAGATTTCAGAGAGAGAGTGTGCAATGCGCACCTGGTAACCCCAATAGACACCCGTCTCCCGTCGCGGTTCATCCGGACTCACCAAAGTACCACGCTGTTTTCGACTCGTCTCTAAATGAAATGAAGACATCCACATTAATTTTGTTATAGTTTAAAGAAACCTATGACACCTACCACTTGGTGGTTCCATTTTTACTGTAACCCGCACACCAGGCTCCAATGCCTTGTCGATAAGCACATCGTTTAACAGTCCGACATTTGCATAGCTATGGCCATCTTTCGCCTGTTTGTCGCAAACGACGCCCTCACGATAACGAAATTTACTTTGCTGTCGTAGATGATGCGGCGTATCAAGGGGATTAAGCAGACCTGAGTACTTCAGATCTTTGTGCAGGGGAAAGAAGTATTTACGCAAATATTGTGGACACTCCAGATATTGTAGAATGCGGGCCAACTGCAATGAACTGCTGCGCACTGTACTTGTCCCCTTGGCCGCTTCATTACCATTGTTGTCTGCATCATCCTGTTCATAGCTACGCTTTGTCTCACGGGCGGTTGCCACGCCAACATCGTCAAAGACAATCACCTCATTGACACGAAATATGCATGCTGCTCGTGCTATTTGGCCAGCCACATAGGCGCGTAGCTCCGCGGATTGGGCATTCTCCAATATGGAGCCAGGCACGGCAATGCTGATAGTTGATGGATTTGTCTTGACTGCTTCTTTTTCATTTGCTGCTTCATTGACAAGTGTGGCAGCAAGCTCTTGTGCTCTCTTCAGATCTTTCAGAGCCTTGTCCTGTTTTCGTTGACGTTTGAGCGCCTTCCGTTCCTCGTTAATCTTTTTCCATGATTTATGTGGCTCTGTAGGTTTGCTATAGCGATTGTTCGCAGCTGTCACAGACATCTTTAAGCGTTATTATTATAATTAAACTCTTAACTTGTTGCGAATAACATCAAATACAAATTTATTATTTATTCGCACGTGTGAGCTCGATAAGTTCCGGAACCAGTTGGAACTATTTATGTAAATATCGAGTATCGTATATCTTGCAATGAATTCTGCAAGTTTCTAGGTAAGTCCATCATAATTATCATTGCAGTTTTTTGCTATCTAAATATAAAAAAAATAATTAGAAAAAAATAAATTCATCAAAAAAAAGTAGCCAAGGCAAGAAACGTATTTTGGCGTAAAAACGCAAAATGTGGCAGCTCTACTTAAATATGTAAAGTAAATAATACCAACTGAATATGAAAAACTATCATTGGGAAAAGTAAAAGTAGCATTTGCTCTCAATAAACTTGAAAACATAAATTTTTACAATTTTACGAATAAAATGAGTCGCAAAGTTTTAGCTCCTTCTACTCAGCGCATGAGTAACAATCGCAACTATCGGGTAAACACGGTACACGAAGATTTCGGCGGCAGCAAATGGAACGCCGCCAATGAGAAAAATTCAAAGGGCTACCAAGAACCAGGTAATAAATTGACTTCTTTGTGCTGCCTGCCAGAAGAGTTTAGTTGGCTATTACTTAGATCTATATGCCGATGATGATTTTGAGGACGATAGTGCGGAAAGTGATATTGAACAGTTGTCCAATGGCAACTACAAACTGGCCCTTCACGTGCCCAAGTGAGTACTTTGTTAGAAGTTAAGCTTATAGGAATTTATGTTAAGTGAATGTCCAAAATATGCCTGCAGATCTTTCTATGGCGGTCTGATTGGTCTCAAAGGTTCCACCAAGCGTCGCATTGAAACAGAAACTCAGACAGAAATCTATGTTCCACGTCAGAATGAAGCGTCCAATGACTTACTCATTCAATCCAATGATCGCAAAAATGTTTGTGCTGCGCTTCGCAAAATTCGACTGCTCGTTGACTCTTTACGCAAGCGAATGAGGCCCACACATTTTTTGGCCGTCCCATTGAATACGGGCGAAGTGCAGAAACGTTTCATCGAACTAAAGGTAAGCACTGGCTATAATCTATAAGCTTGAATTGATAATCGATATTTATAATCATTCAGCAAAGCATTTTGGATGCCCAACTGCCAGGCATCGATGAAGAGCTTTTCACATCAGAGCGCTGCATTCATCTCACTTTGGGTATCTATGTGCTGCTTGATGATGCTGAACGCAAAAAAGCTACCAAAGAACTTGAAACGTGTCGTCAGTATTTGGCCGATCTAAATACACCATTTGTGCTGAACATAAAAGGTCTTGAAATAATGAACGATGATCCCAGCGCTACCAGAGTGCTCTATGCTCATGTGGAATCGCCAGAGGTACAAGAGTTTGCAGACAAGTGCCTAAAGCATTTCCAAGGCACAGGTCTTTGTGCAGCTGACAACATTGAAAGAGATAGCATCAAGCTACACGTGACGGTGCTTAATGCTCGCCATCGCAAGGAGAAACTGAACAAGAATGACCTAAACTCTTTTGATGCACGCGAGATCCTTAAGCGCTTTGGTGATTTTGATTTCGGAACCGCTCTATGTAACGAAGTGAAAATGTGTGTGCTCAACTCGTCCAAGGATGTGGATGACTTCTATAAAATAACAAGTACATTACAATTTTAAACATTTTTCCCCACATTTCTTTGATGGTATACACACAATGGATCCTTAATAAAAAATATTGAATTATCAATTATTGTGAGTTATTAATCCAATCAGTACATGTTTTTACTTATTTTTTGAAATCGATTGAAGAAATCAGACTGCCCATTAGTTGTATTGAATCATAACTATTAAGTAGAAGTGTTTGCAAAACCAAGCAAAACATTAATAAAATATGTTATGGAAAGGTTATCAAAGCGTTGTATGTAGCATTATATTTTAGAACTAATGAGCCTGTATTTATGTTGCTCTCTACTAAAAATTGATTGATCATACCAGTCTCTATTGATGTACCAGTCTCTATAAAAGTTCAGTTGTAGTATACAATTACATTCGCAATGAACATCGCTACCTTGAGTCGCGCCCTATGCATGTTATCCGTTTTAGCATTTGCTAAAGCTGATGTAATATATATATATAAATAGTCAACTAGTTTCTACAAATTAAATACATATATCCAGCCCTAATTCCGAATGTTATTCTTAGGTGAGTACTTTAAATATTTCTATCACCTAAACGTAAACACTAGCTATTGCATAATCATTCATTTGTAGATACAATCCTTTGGCACCTTATTTTTTATGGAAATTATCTGTATTGGTTGGTAAAAATCGGGCATAGCTAACAAGTATATTAAATAAATTTATGAGCAAATGAATAGTAGAATAATATATTTATTAAAGGATATGGCACATTCCGTTTGAAGTGTTGGTCTTTGACTGTGATTCGAAAGTCTGACTCTTTGAGAATGAGCTTATCTTAGTACAGACGTACTTTTTAGGAGCTCTTGACTAATACGTACTTATATTCTATGACGGCCTGCATAATGTATATATTTATATGCCTTATATTATTTAAATTATAAGAACCGGACAGTTAACAACACTAAAAATTGATGGCTCTTTAAATTCTGCATAATTATTCCACAGACTATTTGTACGTTTGGGGGAGCACAAAATTTCAAATGTAACAGACTGCGACATGATAGGAAGATATACATGTGCGCCCAAAGTTGAGGACATATTATTTGATCAGGTCATAGTGCTCAAGGATAACTCAAAAGTTGAGCGTTATGGATGTGAATGGGAAACGTAAAAGTTCGACATTTATTGATTTTCTTACCATACCACAGATCATATTCAAATCATAGATTACTCCTAAACGATACACTTCAACAATTGCCGGAACGTCTGGAAGAGTTCCTTGTAACTGGCTGGGACAAAACTGAAACTGTAGACTTTTCCGATAGAGACCACTATCAATCGAAAATCTCGCGTAGATTGCCATTAAGCATTTAATAGAGAAATTAGACCATCCCAATTGTGCGCTGGTTACAACACTACTCCTGCAACACCGATTCTGGTGGTCCCTTATTATGTTTGAGTGGCGATTATAAGGAACATCGAAAATTCGTTCAAGTTGGCATAGTTAGTTATGGTTCAATAGTTTGCGGGGATGTCGATGCCGGGGTCTACAAATGTTGCATGCTATATTCACTGGATTGCCGATAATCGACTAATTGCATAATATATTTTAAAATTCACATACAGATATTTTACAAATGCATGAATAGCTCGAATTGTAAATATTTTTATTTTTCCGGCTTTGCCCAGCGGAAATATGTATTTTCACGGATCGGGCAAACAACCAAGATATCGTGAAATACGCGCCGATTGAAAAATAAAATGCTTACTGTGAATATTATCGGACTAATGAGATTCCTCTTATCGATTAAAATATACTGCCTTGCTTTAGAGTTGCTACGAAAAAATATAGGTGTCGGTAGAAAAATACCAATAATAAAAATAATACAGCTGACTATACGCGTATCGAGTATGAAATATTAGCATCGAGTACAAGTGCAACTGCCGTCGGAGTTGGTTGGTTTGCGTCGATGCGTTAATTTTTTGTTAGTGTTTTTGTCATTGAAAGTGTTTTTGTTCCAACTACTTTGCATGAAAATAAGTGTGCCAAATATATCAATAAATATTGGGGCCAAGCAAACGCCCAGAATCAAATGAAGGGTGCTCTTTAAAGAATTGGAAAAATCGCAATCTCAATCGCAATAGCCAGTGAAAAACAATGAATGATATGATTCAATGACGTCGCGAAACCAATCCGTGATTCGACAAAGCGAAAGAGAAAGAAGAGAAGGGAAAAGTCACAGTGAACAGCCGACTGTGAATATTTATGCGGGCTGCTGCTCCTACTGTTGACAATATAACTCAAAACACAAATTAATACATAAAAATAGCTCCAAAGAATCGTAAAAAACTCACCTATTAAAATTGATTAAAACATGTGCTAGAAACAAAAAAAAATAAATAAATCTTCAGATGGGTTCACGTATCAAGTAAGTAATTTATTCGCTTTCGGAAACTTGCATCTGGAAAAATAAACTATGCAGTGGGCGTAACGCTTGGATGACCACTGAACGCAACAACTACAGTGAAAATTTTTTTTTTTTATCATTTTATACTACACTATACTATTATTAATAAAAAAAAAAACAATTATTGTCAATTTGACAGAAACGACGCAAAGAAACTCTTTGAGTTTTGGTGTGAAGTCAAACCCACACACGGCATCGATCGTGGCAGTGTTAATCGTAATGGTGGAGGAACCGCAACACCCGCTGGCATTATTACAGAAAGCTTCCCGGAGGGCTTTCGCGATAAGGAGGTGCTTAATGGTATCCCATCGTTTGCGTTTCCCTGCGATCTCGTAAGGTGCGTCCAACTGCAAATTTATAACAATATTACGCATGCATATTTCAACTTAGTTTGGATTAGTCACATTAGACAAAACCGCAACAATAACAACAGCAAGTAGAACAATGACCGTTGATGTTCCGTTTGATATTTGCTGCCTGACTGGGTGAACAGTCGCAGACAGCTATGATCATCAGTGATGCTTGCTTTTTGTGTAGCTAATTTTAGCGGGGCCTTAGAAAGGCCTATCTGAGGTTTTTATAACATGCACATATGTTTCATAGATTGTATTAATTTATAGCTTCAATGTTTTGATTATAGCTGAACATACACTTGGTTTTATTATCATATATATAAAGGGATTAAATCAATTAACTATATATTATTATTAGATATATTAACTTTATTTTAAACACAACTACACAGTTATAAAAACAAAATGGATTATATAAATGAACAGCGGGCAGAGTTGCAGCTAGCCAAATTTTTAGGCGAAATCTTACCATAAAAACCCCGATTTGACCATAAAAAGGTGATATTGGCTGCACTGTCTGGATGAGTCACGACAGCGGCAGCGTCCACTTCAAGTTTGTCCATGAATTGTATAACCTGTTGTATAGTTTTTCTGTCTGTTTGTTTACTTACGTGTGCGCGCCAGTTTGTATGGCGTATTGGTGAATTATTTCATTCGGATTACGTTGAACGCGGTTCATTTTCGCACATTGCGCTTGTTGTTTTTATAGCAAGTATTTCCTCACTGTATCAGTTACACACATATGTATCTGCAGATCTGCATGTATGTGTGCGTCAATTGTCTTTCCGTTAGTCACGCTGAAAACATTTCTGGTTTTATATGTGCAGCTGCCATAAGACTGGGCAACAAGTTGTCTTTACTGTTCGCCCACCCTTCTGCTTACTATTATTATCGCACGGTAATATACACTGATAAACACAATTTGGGAAGCGGACCAAACGCTGGACTAATGAATTTTCGTTTGTTGAAATGTCTTCAAAGTAAAATTAATAATAATTATAAACATTAGCGCAAAGCAAAGATCACCGAAAAAAAAAAAAACAAACAGAAAAACGGCACATTCATATGTACATACGCTAAACACCGTTGGAGCACGTATAGCCAAACAACAAAACAGACAGCCTCTTAATTCATTAGGTTTGGATTTCTCTCTCGGTCACTCTCTCTCTCCCTCCGGCATGCTATCATTATTGTAATTAACAGTTATCGCCAAAGTCAATGCACCGACATGTACGAGTTGAGTGGAAGCGAGATAGAGCTAGCTTCCTTGTCAATTTTGCTGTTGCGATTTTGTCGCTTGCCTGCTTAGCATATTTTATTAAATAATGCGCGCATCTAACGACTTCACATAATCCAACGCCTACAATAAAACACCAACAACACGAAATCGTCTGCGAAATGCGAAAGAGCTGCAAAGCGAAACTGATGGAGGCCAAACGACGTCGAATTGAAAGCAGAGCTCAGTACGAATAACTGTTGTTGTGCTTTTATTCGCACATATGTATGTATTTACATACATATGCATATGCGGTATGCTCATAATCGTCAACGCACATAAATTGTCACACAATGAGACAAAGGCAAAGGCAAACAGCAACGAAAGGAAACACCACTTAACACAATCCCATATTATTACTAAATATTTAGCTTCTAAAGACTTTCGATTCTATTTAGTGTTTCTCTTGTGCGGTTTTCGAATGGAAGTTAAGTCCGTCTTCCAGATGCTTTTAATTTGGGTTAAGAGGCAACGCTAAAAAAGAAGTAGAGTCAGACATGATCCAGTCAAGCATTAGTCATTCGTAAAGCCCCAACACGAATGTTTGTATATACATACATATGTATGTACAAGTGCGATGAAGCATTTCTTGAGAAATACGATTGCTGCTGTTGCTTGTTGCTGTCAAGGTCATTTAGGTTTATGGCATAGACGAGCGGATATGCCATAATAATCAGGTTATAGTATGTACGTATGTAACTTAAACAAACAACTTCCCAATGTTGTAACAGACAATACAATATTTGAAGAATATAGGATAGTGTTCTTAGTGTTTTGTTTTTGTAAAAGAAAGAGAGAGGGTATCTGCATAAATATGTACATATAATTAGTTAAATTTTTTATTACGATTTTTATTATATACACACATACATACTCACTATCTATTATCAATTTCTAATCTTCAATTAAATTTCCTCTATAGGGACTCTGTACAATCCTATTCTTTCGTGCACACAACAGGCGATTCGAAATGGCGTTTTGGCTTCTGTCGACACGATCCGAAAACGGAAACAGCGATGGTGCTGATCACCTATCTACCATGGCATGGTCCTTTCCTCAAGCTGTTAACTGTGTTAGCAGATTTAAAACGCACTGATCTAAATGAGTTTCGTACCTTTCTATCGGAAGCATACAACAGAGGCATACCTGATGCGGGTGGGAGTCTAACGGTATACTATAACAGTGGGCAAAGCGTGAGTATCTGAAATGAAAAATATTTGTATATTGTAAAAAAATTTCTATTGTTCTACAGCATTTTACATTTGAACGGCCATTGCCATTTCAGCTGCCTAGCATACCAGAAAATGTAAGTCTCAATCGATATTTATTTACTAAATATTTAAAACTAATTTACTCAATCTCGTACAGCAAAATCTAAGTCTCTATTATAACTTTGTGGATTCTAAGGATATGATAAGTGTGTTTGCTGCCATGCTTGCCGAGCGTCGCATTATATTCACATCGAGTCATTTGGATCGACTATCCTCGTGTATACAGGCAGCCAATGCATTCCTCTATCCCATGGTCTGGCAGCATATATTCATACCTGTGTTGCCCTGGGAGTTTAAGGATTACTTGGGCGCACCTATGCCATATTTAATTGGTGTGCCAGAGCCAGTGCTCGAAACTGTAATTATACAACAATGTTTTATTCATTTCCTTGTATAATAATTACATAATACCGTCTGGTATTCTGCATCAGGTTTCTGCCGATGAGCTCGGTGAAGTTGTGATCTTAAACTGTGATACGAAAATGTTGGAGACTCCGTTTGATGATGTGCGCGCACTGCCTCCAGAGATTGTGTCGCAGCTTAAGAAACATTTAAGCCACACACAGGATCATATCGGGGATCGTATTTCCAAAATTTTTCTCGGCGCTTTGGTACAACTGATTGGCGGCTATCGCGATGCTGTTGAGTTTCACGATACCTGCAAAACGTTTAATCGCGATAAGTTCATTGAATCTCGACCCGCCCACCTGCGCCCGTTTCTTACCAAAATGATGGAGCTGCAAATTTTCGCCCAGTTCATTGACGATCGACTCAAAATGCTAAATAGCGGCTTGGGCTTTTCAGATGAATTCGAACGGGAAACAGTTCGGTATGCAGAGAAGATGAAGAAACGCGGTCGCAACTATGTCTTCCTCAAGCATGTCAAGGACAAGGTGAGCTACGCAGAAGATACTCCATCTACTTGTCCTAGCCCTAGTTCCATGGCTGTTAGCTCAGTTGCCCTAACCCATACTCATCATAGTGCAATACGATTCCACATCCAACCATTGCCCACTTTTAGCTGTGATACATTCTTGGGTTCTATCGTTATTAATGCATTTATTTATTTATAATATTTTGGTTTAGAAAACATAATACATGGATTTAGCCCTCTGCGCTCTTCCGCTATTTCCCGCTCTAAATGTTGTGTCGTAATTTTTAAGATTACTTTTTGATTCTTTTCTTTTTTTTCGTTCGTCTATTTCGCTCAACAATATTTTTTTTAATTTAATTTAATCTATTTCACAGTATTATTTGGGAAAGCGCAGTGTTTCGCGAGTCTTTACCAAGAGCAAATTTTAGACTGGTTGCCACCGCCCACCACCAAAATACGAATAGAATTTCCACAAACACAAAAAACACACAAAACACCTTTTCCACAAAAACCAAACAAATGTTAGTCTTATTGATTTACTATCTTCCTTATCTCTATTTCTCTTTTAACCAACAAATGCACCTAATCCTTGAATTTTTTTGGCAAAACTAAAATATTTTTTAATTGTGTAACAAAATTTTTTTGTATTTTTGTTTTCTTAAAGTTTTGATATCATTTTGTGTTTTGTTAAATTTCCTTCTTTTTTTTTTGTAAAATGGCCAAATCATTAAAATGTCATGTAATTATAATGCAAGAGCGGCCCAGCAGATGTAACACTTTTTACAGTAGCTTAGCAGACAGCGCATATGTCTGTAACAGTGCACTACTATTTTACAGCTGCTTAGCAGAGGTAAATTTGTTAAGCTGCACAGCAGCTACTTTATTCTGTTATCAATACTTTTGTATAAAAAAACATAGTTTAGTGACAACGATCACTCGATTTGAAAGCTTTTGCCATAATAACAAGCCAATATTTTTACTTATATCATAGGGTACGCACAAATTCCCAACAAAACCATCAAAAGCCATTTTACTAATTTATAAAAAAAAAACAACAAAACTGGATATCTTTGTTTAACCATAAATTGAAATCATTATCAAAAATAACAACTTTTCAAGCCTCATTGCATTAAACTATACTTTTATCATCATTGCCATCTTAACAATTAGTTTTTAATAGTAGTTTGATTGTAATTTTAACTGCTATTCATATACATATATATTTTAATATATATATATATATACTTTAATATATGTGTCATTTAATATTTGTGCGTTGTCTTTCATATACGCGGCTTGGAACTCACGTTTGTGCTTCTGTGCTTAATGCTCGTTCTGGGGTTTGATTGATCCTCTTTTTACATATATATATATATATAAATTCTGTAATATCACCAAATGCGAATCACTTTTGCAGACTAATCCAGCTGTTAAGTCTGCTGTTAAATCGGTGAGTGGTAGCTTTATTAAACTCATTCGTAAGCTTAAGATTGGAGCAAAAGTGTTATATTAATCAAATTCTCTCTACTTAAAGGTGAAGGAGAGCTCGCGTGGTGTTAAGACCGCATACAAGAAGTGGCGGGATAACGGCAACGGCCACAATCATAATCCTAATCATCAATTCCATTTCGGGCTGAGCTCCCCTCAGCACTCTGATCGACCTGACGGCAGTAGCAATAGCCTAGGAGGTTACGGGCGTAAAGTCACGCATCGTTCGGCGCCAAGTTCACCGGTGTGCAGCAAACGCCTGGAGCGTGAGATCAATTTGAATGGCAGCGCAGCACGCGAGCAACAACAGCAAGCAATGCTGCAGTTGCCACAGCAACGACGCGCTCCTGTGCCGCTGGTTATGTCCAGTTCAAGCAGCCATATACCTGCGAATGGCTATGCGTTGGGTGCGCCGAATAATGCTCATTTCGATCATATTGTGGGTGCGTCTCCTGCTGTTAGCTCGGCAAGCTCGATCTGTTCATCGGAGATGAATCTGTCGCAGGAGCTGCAGAATCATCCGCTGTTCAAAACGCCCGCCGTCGATCGAAGCGTAAGTAGTCTAGTGCGTGAATACGAGAGACGGCTGCAGCTGCTCTAGCGTCGAAGAGTTGCTTAACGCTTATTGTTCTATCTCTCATTATTCTCGTTGCTGTTGTTGTTATATCAGCAATGTTATTTATGTTCATTCTTTTCATTGCCTTTTTCATGTGTTTCTTGTGTTGTGTTGTGTTGTCTCGTCTCGTCTGTCTGTCCGTCTATTTGTTGTCGCCTGTCTGCCTCATCTTCTCGAAACTTGCACCAAACACCAAAACTTCACAAACATGCAATGCCATCGCCAAACGTCAACTTCGACACGCAGCTAAAGCCCAACGCTGAGCAACAACACAGCACGCGCTTACGTAGTGGCGCACCGCCGGCACGCCCACCGCCGCCTACGCTGCCAGCATCACAGCCTGCCGCCTACTACAATCATCCGTATGCGCCAAATACGAACACCAGCAATGGAAGCAACAGCACTAGAGGCAATCCATATCCAATCAACAACTTGAAGCCCCCCAGGCACACCTCAACGCCCACTAAGGTCCGTCCGCTGGCCAGCACAGACTCAAGCTTTGATAACCCACCAGATATGCAATCGCCTCCTATACCACCGCGACGTCAATGTAGTGCCAATGTAGTGGTGGCAGCCACAGCGGCTGCTGTCAGCGCTGGCATCAATCGTCTGGAGCGCAATTGCTGGCAGGATGAACAAAACAATTCGATGCGCAGCTCGAACAACTCGTCAGCTTCATCGGCATCGGCATCGTCTAGTTCGTCCTGCGCCTCATTCGTGACGGCAGCTTCACGATTCTCGCAGCTAAATATATCATCGCCCCAGAGCTCCGATTCAGCGCCCATACCAACGCCGCGGGCCAAGAGAGAGGTACAGCACAGAGCTGCGCGTCTATTTAAAACTAAGAATCGTCCCGGTTGTGGTATTACACCCCCTCACTACTCATACTAACACATCCAGCTGACCCCAAATACTCTTAATCAATTCCAAGTCCAATGGGCAGACCCTTCTGTAGCTTTGCGACTAATCCGCTTGCATTGTAGTTCACTAATCCGTGTAGCTTGCCCAACTTTTAGAAGTTTATCCTTACTAATCTGTATCCATATATATTGTATTCCTCGTACTCACAGTCACCCCGCAGCAGTAACAGCAGCAACAACGCTCAACCAAACCCGCAGGACAGCATGAATGATCTGATATCGCTGGACGATAGCAACAATACCAGCTTCGATTTGGAGGATTTTGATCCACTAAATCAGAATGCGCGTCCATTGCCGACGCTTGGCAAAACTTTTGGCAGCAATCACAAATCCAAGTCCAGCACCTTGCCCGCTGGTGTTAACAGCAGTGTAATCAACAATGTTGGGGGCGGCAATAGCGTTAATAATCCATTGTATCCCTACTTTGCGCCTAAGCACATGGCCACAGTGGCGGCTGTTACGAACCGAGTGGTGAATCCGCTACCACCACAAAATCAACGCAGTAGCAACAACAGGGCCAAGCCGCCGGATGATGACTTTGAGCTACTGCGTAAATACGGATTGGATCAGTTCTCTCTAAATACATCAACAGAAACAACTGCTACAGGTGCCACTACAAAACCAGCTTTAACAGCAGGTGCAGGTGGCGGCAAGGGCATGAACAACTGGACGACCTTTGATTAGAGTGAAGGCAACGTTAACTGGAAAAGATACCAAAATAAGTGTGATTAGATTTATGATTCGTATTGTATTATATACAAATATATACATATATAAATACGTATAGCTAGGCCTAGGCGATATATGATATACCAGACAAACGAAACCTTAAATAATATTATGCTAGATATATAGAGCGAGAACAACAAAAAACTTGTGTTAACTATTAACGGCTTATTAAAAAACCAAAAAAAAACGAAATGCAGAAGCATCAAATTAATGAGCAACTGTTTCAAAAGAGAATAAAAAATATTACAAATACATTTGACTTCCAAATCAAAAAGACACACAAAGCATTAGCACATAGCGAGAATTTAATCCAATTAGCTTAACAAATCAATTAAAAATTCTATTTAAAATATACATGTATATAAATATTTAAACAAAAACGAATGGTTTTATTTATTGTCAATTGAATTTAATTCAAGATTTCGATTTGTGATCGGCCATGCAGCCTTCTATGCGTTGCTGCAGCGCCTGGGCTCCCTTTAGGTTCAAATCCTCGTAATTGGGCAGCAGCTGTTGCATGCGCTGCAGCCAATCGCCGATTTTTGGATAACGCTGCCGATCCACAGGCAGCAGTAGATCTAGCGTAATCAGCGTGGTGTGAATTGATATATCTGCTACGCTTAGTTCGTTGCCCACCACAAAGCTGCCCTGCTCCAGGAAGTGCTCCAATGTGCCATATGCATTCTGGCAAAGCTCCAGACTGCGTTTATTGTACTCCGCCTCGCCGCCATATATGTTACGTGCCACAATATCCTTGATCACCTGAAAGAGCACGCCGTTTTCGTAGTGCAGACGATGATCTATGTGCGCACGGCGCTTTAGATCCTTGGCATAAAGCTGATCGTTTTTGCCATATTTGGCAACCATAAAACAGATGATCGCATGGCTAAAAATAATAATATTAATTATTTGAGTTTTAAAATACGCGTACATACCTGTCCACATACACCTCGCCATCAGTGTCCACGAAAACGGGTATCTGATGCTGCGGATTGAGCTGTAACAAATCATTAATAGTTATTTTTAGAAATATCTAAAAATAATTATATCAAAGTCGAAGCAGATCGGAATGGCTGCAATATGGTATACGTTAGCTGACTTTTACTAATTAACAGATTTCTGAAGTGTAAAATAACAGCATGTTAACATTGATAACAGCTCACAACACGTTTCCATTGAGCTTTAACTATTATAAATACATCGAAATATGTCTTGGATCAATGACAGACTACTATGTAAATATATATCTTTTAATGATTGTGACGTACTATTTAATCATATTTAAGAGGAATATGTATATTAAATATTAGATTATAAAAATAATTGTTTGGCAAAAAACATTTTACAGCTACATTAAGTAAATATGCCTAAGAGTATGCTGCACAATTTATCATTTTGCTAGTAACAATTGGTCATTTTAATTGTCCCAAGTCATTCTGCGTGAGCTAACATGCTACGCATAAATATTTATATTTAATACGTACTTTTAGAAACTCATCACTCAAATGCTCCTTCTGTGAAAAGTCAACGGCTCTGTGGGAAATAGAAATGTGAAATGAAAACTACCGGAAATTGGTTGTTCTTGCACTAACTTTAACTCCACATCTAAATCTATTAATTTAGCGGTAAGAATGCATGCCCTGGCTGGAGGGCTGAAGAGTGCGTAATATAATACAGGCTTTGCAGACATATTCAAATTAAAGTACACAAATTAGTTAAAAAACAAAAGCTAACAATGTGCACACAGCAAACAGATATGCTAAACAACATATGTTCTCTTTAGTGTTGTAAATCGGATAAGTCCCAGCTGCGCTGCCAACCGGTTGCATAAAAAAGTCCAAATGAGTGGCAGCGCCCGAAGGCCAGCTGTTAAATCGACTTTTTTGTAACGGAAAATAACGGTTTGTTCATTTGAACATCAGAACTGCAATACATTTGGGTATGTATCTAAATTTATTACTTTTTATTATTCAAATACTAAATTACTTAGCGAAAGTCAAGTTTTTGGGCCCAAAAATATTTATGAATGTGTGTGTTTGTGGGTGGGTGTATCATTGAAGTGGATCGTGAAAAATTCTTTGGAGCTTTGTCGCCTTTTTTGTTTTTAGCTAATACGATCTCAGGGCGAGTCTAAAAGTTCAATAACTGAAGTATCTTTCTTTTCCAGCTTGGCTTCATCCTCATCTGCAAAATAGAAAACAGTTTTCGTATATAAAGCAATTAAAAAATATGTAAAACAAGAAAGAAGACACTCATATTGTGAAAGTGCGAAATTAATATTTAAGAACAAAAATAGAGACGATATTAAATAATTAAAATAATCAGTACTAGAAGTAAATAAAACACATGGTTGTTTGAAAATATTATTTAGCTTTAATTTGCAGATTATATTGGCTTATACATTATGTACTTATATTCCCTCTCCCTCCCCCCAACATGCAATTCGAAGATTTTTTCTTTGTTTTCAACAAAATTCTTTAGTGCGCTTGTCTTTCACTTCATTTGTTTCTATAGGCTATAAAAAAGGTGTCAAATTTCGATTAACTTTCATTTGGTCATTCACAGACATATATACAAACATATATATATCAATTTGTACATGTATATATATATTTATATATATATGCTTAGGTATATATGGTCCTATAAATCAGCTTTCAACGGGCTTAAAATAGTAATCCAGCGTGCCTAAATAAATAATTACAAAGATGAAGCGATTTAATTATGCGATAGATTTAGCTTTATTTATTATTGAGTGAAATTTATATTCTATTTAATTTGCCAGTTGTTGTTGGCATCACTTCTTTTTCTTAAATCATTTTCAAAAATCAAAAAGCGATGATATCTAATATACATACACATACGTAAATTAAAATATAAAATGAAATAGTGTGTTTCAATTTGCAAACGAATGCAATTGAAAAAATATAAACTAAAAACATAACTTAACTTAGTTTAAATTATGAACGAAATAGAACTTAAAATCGATGCGATTCTCTTGCCACTTCGTTATGCAATTCTATATATGAATTAGGAATTATATATAATCGTAAAATGACTTAAATATTAACATTTGATTTATGTTTAGTATTACGCTATTGTTTAATGCATAGGTCTATTTGTTTCGATCTTTTGTTTCTGTGTGTGTTTAACTAAAATAGATATTACGAACAACCCAATAAATTATATAATTAATTATATGTTGCAGTATAATTAGCTGTGTCTAAATGTGTGTGTGTCTATGTGTGTGTGCGTGTGTGTGTTGGATGGGTGTAATAATCGAGCCAAGCACAACACAGATATATTAAAGGCAAAATAAAAATTTAAATATACTAAAAGAATTAACTAAATTCATTTTAAGTGTAGAGGCCAGAAACAAATTGAATACGAAGAGCGTCGTAGTTCAATATTTAAATAATAGAATTAAAGTAAAAAATAAAATAAAGTATGCGAATAATGTAGGAACAAACAGAAACAAATGTGCAGCAGCTGCACCTTTTTAGAAGATGGGAAAGAGCTTGGATGAAAAAGGGTGTGGCAAACTACAGACCAACTGAAACTGCAACTGCAACAGCTACTCTTAACCGCGCCCTGCAACACACAAAAAGTTTTTGTTGCAATTATTTATAAAGAATAGAATTTGAAATTTGATTTTGAAGCAGCCTTTAGAAGCATTCTATATGATAATAATGAAAAAGCAAACGAAGTAGGACAAAAAAGGACATGCTAAACCTATTCATATAGGTGAGTTATAGCATTCAAATTACTACTAGAAATAATCGAAACAATTTTTTTGTAATATAAAAGTCTAACAAAATTTCAAAATACTCGGTAATAGTATTCGGCAAGCTAAGAAATGTAGGAAAATGATTTTTTTTCATTTATTGCATGAAAAAAAATGTACATGAAAAATGTTTAGTTAAATAGCCTCTGAATAATGAGATATCTATATATATATATATATATACATACATACATATATATATATATATATATATATATATATATATATATATATAACTGTGTGTGCGTCCGGGTATGGTGATATGCGAGCAAAGGAAAAGAAAGAGAGCAACAAATTAAAGCAAAGCCAACGAAATCAAAACAAAGGAAAATCACAAAATTTGTGTCGGCGTGTATGTGTGTGTGTGAGAGTGTGTGTGAAATTGTTTACAATTCATGTGTGTGAGTGAGTCCCTACGGAGCTCCGTTTGGATTCTGCGCGGAGGCTGAGGCAGCAGCAGCGGCTGCTACTGCAGCCAGATCCAAGAGTTGAAAATGCTTTTGATCCGCAACTGCTGCGGCAAGAGACTCCAATAGACTCGCATGCATTGCAGCTGCCGGTTGGTCCCCAACTAGCAGTTGCTGTTGTTGTTGCTGCTGTAGCGTTTCAGGCGATGGCATTGCTTGCTGCTCGGGGGAATCTTTCGTGGAGTCGATGGTCGAATTATAATGCAGAGAAGAGAAAGAAGAAAGAGAGAATAGAACATACATATATATAAGCATATATATATAAAGGAGGTAAGTGTGTAAGAGAAAAGAGACAGTTCAGAAACAGACAGAGAGAAGGAGAGAGAATTGCACTATAAAACTATATAAATATATATATATCTATAGATTCGGGGCGGAAACTAAAACACATTTCTGTAAAACTTATCAAGAATAAGCTAAAACCAATCTTATTTAATTATATTTTCAGAAGGAAGTACATTGTGTATTGCTGACAATAAATAAATAAATACAACTTCAATGCACATTGCATAAATTAAATGAAAAGAAACAATTATTTTTGAAAATAACACGACGAAAGCTCTTGTACAATTTACAGTAGAAAAATGATTAAATAAATATTTGCAAACATTGAATTTTTGTGTAGAGTGTAGACTCTAGTTTAGGTATTGTAGTTGTGAATCCTTGTCAGGACCGCACGGCCTTTACTTGTTAACACCTTTGCTGCAAGTAATATATATGCACATAGATAAATTTAAATCCTATGTTGTATAACTGTGCTAACCCAACATACCGTAATTTACGACCTAGGAGTAGATTAACACGCACATAAATCGGCGCACCACTTGCCTTTCTATAAATATCTAAGAAAATATATATTTACAAAAACGCCGTTATATGAAATTAATATAAGCCTATTACATGAAAATTGAACTGGAATACAGATGCTGTAGCCTGTAAGAACAGAATACTCCTGGCAGATTCTGATCGCAAGAGAAGTATAGTTAAATTACTAAGTTTCATAGACAACACAATAAACAATCCTCCTCTTGTCTAAACCCAACTGCAATTCAAGCTTAGAGCCACACAAAAAGTTAACTTAAGTTATTATCGTGCGTTAACAAAGGGAAACTCGAAAGCAAGTGAAAAAGCAATGGGAAATTTTGAGTTAAAGAGCGGGGGCTTTTAAGGACTGTGTGTGTGTGAGTATGTGTCTGTTTTTGTATGCAAATGAATATTGCCTTATGTTTATATATTATCCTAGCTTTTATAGATATTGGTATTTATCTAAATCTGTTTTTTTTTTTCAGCTATACAAATAGTTATTCAACAAATGGATAGTTGCTTGTTGCTTTGCTTCTTATTACAAAAATGGATCCAACGTACCAGTTTTTTGTGGCTGCTGCTGTTGCTGCGACGAAGCGTAGGCACGTTGAACGGCGCCCGTTCCGTTCGATGTGGACGTGGCAGCCGCTTGTTTAGCTGGCGGTCGCCGCTTAGCGAGCGGCATATCATCATCCGAATCACTTAAGGTTAAATCCACCTACAATGCAAGACATAAGTGTTACAAGTTGTAGGATATTATCAGTTAGTTAGTTTAACTTACGGTTTCACTGTTTGACGTGGACGTCGGCTGCTCTTCGGGCATTGGAGACAGATCAGACTTCATCGGCTTAGTGTCGTCAATCAGCTCTGCGCAAATGGAACAATATTAAATTATAATCTTAAAACCTGCAATATCTATATTTCTTAAATATATGTGTAATATATATGCACATACAATGGCTAGCAGTGCATGTAGTTGTTTACTAACCAACATCATCCGATATGACCTCGACTTTAGAAACTGACTTTGATGGCGTATCTAGTATTTGAGTCTCGCTACGTAAGCCCGGTGTGCTCCACGAGCCATCTTGATGCAACTGAATCTCGGTATCGTCACTTTTTAGAAGCGAAGAACCTAATACCTCTTGAAAATAGCTATATGAATAGAAAGTTCCTTTAGTATATTATTATTAATTCTCTGTATGGTATGGTCGTACCCATCAATTACTAAATTGTCATAGATGGCTGGTCTATCGCAGACTGGACAATTCCAGGTGGGCTTGCGCTCGTTCATTTGCAGGTAGAGGCTGGCGTCGAAGCATTGCAAGTGCGAACAGGTTGATGCGCGACACGGCAGCGACATTTTCATTTTACCCAGCGGGCAATTAAGCGATACCTTTAACATGGTCGTAGCTATCTCGCAGTCCGCATCCTCTGTAAGCTTCTCCTTAACTAAAATATAAATAAATCATAATTAATAAATTATTGGTAACTATTTTTATTTTTCACCTACTTAGAGCACGTGTGTAATCCGCTGGCTTGACGCCCTTAGTCTTCATGCGATGCAAGAGCTGTGCGGACGTCAGTTTCTTTACCAAATAGACAGCCAGGCAGTAGCTACGCGTGTAGTCCGGGCACCATTGTACCATTATTGTGTTTGTTACTGTCGGCGACAATTTTACATTTGAGGTCACATTCACTGGCCGCGGTGGACGTTTTGG